ATCTGTGTCTCCTCTTAGAAGGGCACCAGTTGTTGGGAGGAGGCCATCCTAATTCAGTATGATGCCGTCTTAACTTGGTGACTTTGTTCTGCAAGAATATTATCTGCAAGACCTTATTCCAAATTAGCTCACAGTCACAGAATTGGAATGTAATTAAGGCTATATGCCACTGCCGCATCACCCCGCTATACTTGGCTTGTACAACCGTGTGGTAAAACGTTGGGTTTTAAAGTCATAATGAATCGGGTCCTAGAACTGGCTCAGTCACTCACCAGCTAGAACAAGCGTCCTGCCTGCTCTAGCCACCAAATCAGTCATCTAAAATGTGGTGATGCCTGCTGCCTCCTGGGGCTCTCAGGAGGAATTCATGAGGCACTTGATGACGCTTGGCCTGAAGGCAGCATCCTGTGATGATGGCAGCTCTTAATACTTTAATATAACAATTGACTGTCTGGGCAGGCAGGCAGGCACACTGAGAGAGCATAGGGTATGGAATCCAGTGGTGACTGTACTGGAGAATCCAACAGGAAGTGCCAACAGAACACCAAACCCAGGGAGTGAGCAGGGGCTCTGGGGACTAGACCTTAGTCTCCAAAGAAGACTTCTTATCCTAAGGAAAGGCCAGTTGGTGGCACAGTACCAGCACTAAGACCATGACATCTATCCCATTCTTAGCCTGATGGGAGGTGGCCCAGGTTTTATTATAGGAACAAGTTCAGGGTCCAGACTGAAGTCAGGAGTACTGAATATCAAGGGCCAAAATACAGAGCTGGAGTTGGGTAATCATGTCATCCATGTAGGATCTGGGGCTAGAACCAAGTAGACAAGACCAAATGGCTTCATGCGTGGAGGGGAGGTTGAGCAGGACTGGATTGGGTGCCTCTCAACAGAACTTTGGCAAGTGGAAAGCTACCTATAGGGATAAAACCACGTCTTTGGAAGGCATCCTGCCTGGCCTAGATGTTTAGAAGATATACAGAAAGGAAGTTAGTAAGACAGGAGACGAACAATATCACCTGTAAGACGTTGAAGGTATCAAAGTTTGGTTTGGTTTGGTTCAAGGTCATGATTTTTGTAACATGAGAGGAACGAACAAACTTCTCCAAGCCTCAGTTTCCCTCTGTAATAAAATGTGGGGTTGGAGCAGATGTTCCTGAAGGTCTCTCGTCCAGCTCTGACAGCCTGTGATTTCATGAATCACGCTGGAAGAAGTATGCATGAGTGGGAAGAGCCGCCAAGACTGGGCCTTTCATTCTGAGTAATGAACCGAAACCGCGAAGGCTTGACATCTGTTCCAATCTTTCAAGGGAAGTTGGACAAAATAATGCCTTTTTCAGGGAAATCGTTACCAACAGTGAAATATAGTATTTTCTGCCTAAGCCAAAAATGAAGTGGAGAATGCCAGCTTTCTTGAAGCCCAAGGGAGAACACTCATCTGAACTCCCAGAGAAGGTCACGTTGGCCAATTACCTTGCTGCCGTAGGCACAGAATGCCATGGACGTCTCTGCTGCCCAACCCCATTAGAGCCAGAAAGCAGGAAGAGTGGAAGGGAGATGCTGAAGGCCCTGAGAAAGACCGCTCCGGGGTCTGTGGCTGACTTCTTCCCCAGCCCCTGGGACATTCTTGCAAAATAAGCATTGTGCACAAACACCTTGATCTCATGCATCTTGCTGTCAGAAGTCCAAGGAGGATCCTCCACCACTGACTTAGAGGTTCTGTCTAAGAAGTCACTGCAAACCCAGAGGCCATTCTCAGAGACCAGCCAGAGACCAAGGCATTCTACCTTTGGAGTCAAACAGAGCCTACCAATACAGCGTCCTCTAAAGGGACTAGGCTAGGGGAGGCAGGAATCTAGACTCAAATACCACTAGATCCCTCTTACACCATCATTGTAGACAATCCAAGAATTTCAGGACTGTAGGAGGACTGTGCTCACCTCAACTCATGTGCTACCCAGGAATCATGTCTCTATCTAAAACAAGAACTCACTGTACCAGGTCTCTGGTTCATTCTTGTATCCCAGCTAGGCCAGTGTCTGAGCATAGTATGTCTTGATCAAGTATGTACTAGACAGTCTAATTAGAATGTCCCTGAGCATTCTTCCCCCGTCCATCTGTTCATGCCCTGAACTGAGAGGGGTCCAGTAGCTAAGGTAGCTGCCTTGTCCCTCTTTCTGTGCCTATAAAGCCAGGCAAGTTCTAACTCACACACTCAAAAATCTATAAAGTATAGGCTTCAATGTAATGGATCTTTTCCATAGCTTCACCTCTCTCTATCCCCTGGGGTTGATTTGTTTCACACTTATTTGTCTGTTTGTCTATTGCATCTGTGCATGTGGGTACATGCTCATGTATACATGTCATGTCTCACGTTTGGAGATTAAAAAACAACTTTTGGGACTTGGTTCTTTCCTTCCGCCATATAGGTTCTAGGGATCCAACTCGGGTCATCATTAATCTTCCTGGCAGGTGCCTTGTACTCCATGGGCTATCTTTCCTGGATTTTGAAGTTTACCAAATCCTTGGGCCCCGAGTATCCCTATTGGGGAGCAGAGGTGGCATTAGAAGGAGAAACACTGGGGATCCCAGTATCAGAGTATCTTCTAGTTCCTCCAAGCCTGGGGTACTCACAGAGTGGTCTAGACTAGGATTTCACACATATTAGCCTTCTCTCCTGGTGGGATTTCTATTGAAATACTTGTTCCAATCTGAGATAAGTGGAGTCTGAGTTAGTGCTGATATGATAAACGATTTAATTGATACCCATGTTCCCTACTAGAACTTAAGAGCCACGAGAACAGAAACTGTGCCTGTGACAGCTCTGTCTCTCTAGTTCCTGATGGATCTCATAAAATAGTGGGTGGGTGGAAAGATGGGTGGGATGGTGGATGGATGGACAGCTGATTGGTGTCTAGGTTGGTAGATATATGGATAAACAGATAGATGATGGATAGATAAATGGATAAGTGGGTGATGGGTGGTCAAGTAGGTGGGTAGACAGAAGAATGGATAGAGGGATAATGGATGGATGGATAAATAGATGGGTCGGTGGGTGGATGGATGGGTCAGTCCAGCAAGTGGCTGCCTTAGAGACATTGCCTTGGCAGAGTCTTTCAGAAGCATGCTCCTTCCTGGCTAAGGGTCTTCAGTGCTGGCCTTAGCATCCCTCTTCACCTCAGTTGTGCCCATGTATGGAAGGGAAGTGATACCTTGATTCATAATTGAGACACAAATACCCACAGGAGCCTAAGAGGCAGCCTTTTCCAGGGAAGCACTGCTAAATATTGCAGAGTCTAAGGAGGGGCTTTGAGATGAGGAGAGAACAGTGGGTCGGCCACAACTCTAGCATGCGAGGAACCCTGTGAGTATGTGTATAAGCAGATGCATGCTTGCTGACATGCAGCCATGCACACCGAGCAGTGCAGACCTTCCCTTGGGAAAGAACGAGCTTTGTGAGAATCAAGAATTTAAGACTGCCAGGGAGGGATCTCAAAGAGGCAGCATGTGTGAAATAATATGAACAATAGGAAGAATTAGACAAGGAGAGGGGATTGTGGGCCAACCGCGGAGGCAAAGAAAGGGGCATAGGAACAGGACAGTGTTTAATGGGCCCTTGTGTTATGAGAACCACAGATAAGATGCAGAGGGAGGATTTTTTAATTTTTAATCAGGAAAGCCTCAGACCAAATTTCAGAACACCCCTCCTTAAATTTGCGATGCAATGTCCTGTATTAACATATCATATCTCTAGCCTTCCCTCTCCTGCCTTCATGTAAACCCCTGCTAGTGAGGCCTTGGACTTGCTCATTCGGTTTCTTGTCCACCCACACCCTCTAAGGAGGGTGCTTTTGTTTGTTTTGTGTGTGTTCTGTGTAGTGGATGTGTGTACATGCTTGTGTGTGTGTGTGAGTGTGTGTGTGTGTGTGTGTGTGTGTGTGTGTGTGTGTGTGTGTGTGTGTACATGTGTATCAATATAGCGGTTGTCTTCTTCAATAACACTCCACTTTATTTTATGAGACGGGATCTCTCTTTGAACCTGGAGCTGACCAATCAGCTAGACTAACTGGCCAGTGAGCTCTGGGGCCTGATTATGGACTCTCTTGGTGACCAGCTTTTTACAGGAGTGTTGGGGATTCAAACTCAGGTCCTCATGCTGGCACAACAAGCATTTGGCTGACTGAGCCATCTCCCCGGTTCCCACGGAGACCATTATCTTTGCCTAAGTAGCTTTGGAGCAGGTTTTAGGATCCCGGGACCATCCTGGGTGGGCTAAAGTGGTCAGGAAGTGATTGGGAGGGAGAAGCTGCGTTCATTCGACACAGTGCCATCTTGAGAAGGGGCCTCATAGGTATTCATTCTCTCTATGCTTTTGTCCCGGTCCTCTCCTTCATACATCAGCTCTTGAACAGCAAAGCTTAAGTTGTCCTGTATTACTGTATGTGCATCCTTGTCTCCCCCACACCCTGGACACGGCCCAGCCACGGGAGTCAAGTCAGTGTTGAAACTGAGCTGTGAATAAGTGGGCTGCAGAGAAGTTTCAGTCAAGGGCCTGTGTTCTGTCCCCAGAACCCATGTGGGGGAAAGGGCCAGGTGTGGGGGCAGTGCCAGGGAGGCAGAAACAGGCAGATCCCTGGGGTTTGATTGCCAGCCAGCAGTACCCTACTGGGGGAGTTCCAGGCCAGTGAGAGAGTCTGCCTTAGAAAATAAGGTCAGGGCTGGGGAGATAACTCAACTGTTAAAGGTTACGGCTCACAATCAAAAAATCGGGTCAGCTGAAACTGAGAAATGACACTAAGGTTGTCCTCTGGCCTCCACACTTACACACACATACACACGTGTGCATGAGCGTGCACTCACACGCACACTGGACATACACAGCAGTGGTTAAGTCACCATGGACGACTGGCACCCCTTCCATCCGCAATCCATGAGGGGGGGTTCTCCATCACCTCTAGCCCAAGGTTTTGCTCATTGTCTGTCTGCCTGTGGTCTTGTTACAGAAAGCAGACCTGGCCGTGGCTCCCCTAACCATCACCCATGTCCGAGAGAAGGCCATCGACTTCTCTAAGCCTTTCATGACCCTCGGAGTGAGCATCTTATATCGCAAGCCCAACGGCACCAACCCCAGTGTCTTCTCCTTCCTCAACCCTCTTTCCCCGGACATCTGGATGTACGTGCTCCTCGCCTACCTGGGTGTCAGCTGTGTTCTCTTTGTTATCGCCAGGTAAGGCTGTGCCTTGGCCGAAGCTCTGGGCCAAGCTGGAAAGCACAGGAAGCTAAGCGAGTGACACCCCCCCACCCCCCCACCCCCCCCGGCTCAGAAGGCCCAAGGTCTGGATGACTGTGGCACCTGACATTCTCTTCCTCCCTGTCGCTCTGATCCTTTATGCCTTCAGGGGATGTTCCATGACTCCCTGGGCGTGAATCATCCAATCGTCCCTCTGGTCCATGTCCATGACTCAGTTATGGTCATTGCACCCACCCTGGTGCCCAGAACAGGCTGGGAGAAGCCTGACCGTTGCCCAGGATAGCGCCACCTGAGCTAGGCACCTTAGGATGGCAGACCAGACCCAAGGGCACTGTATGGCCTATTGAGTGGCTTAAAACATGGAAAAACAAATTGTACCTAAGCCGTCCACACAGCAGGAGAACCAGTCGCCACCAGCTATGCGCATGCCACATGCAGAAACATGGCACACACGCATGCACGCCCGGGATCCATGCTTATGCACCGCCTCATTCACATGTGTGCCTCATGTGTGAGAATCCACGCTTGTACCGAGGCTACGCTTGTTGTGTTGTTCATTGGAAACGGATGAAGTACACCCTTGCTGGTGGTTATTGGAAATGGGTCACGAGGGAAGCAGATTTAGCCCATGTTTATCAAATGCTCAGTGTTGGCCAAGCACCCTGTTCTGCACCTCGCCATCTTTCCATTTTCTCTGGCAGCCTCCCTTAAAGACACCCAAGACCCACTGAGGCCATACAAGCGAAAAGTGACACATCCAGGATGCGAACTTAGTGTCACTGAGGGTTTGTCTGTGATGCATGCCTCTGGCCACTGCTTGGCCTCCCGCCTCAAGCTCCCCAGCCCCTCACAGATGAGCTCTCTGCCCCTCCCTCCAGGCCCCATCCTTGCCTCTGCCCTGGGTCCTTTTTTCTCTAAAGCCTGACATGGTGTAAAGAGAAACTTCTCTGGAGAGGCAATTTGAGATCCAAGGACCTGGTGTTTCGCCTTTTTCCTCTCGAGCTTCCTTTGAAAGCCCCCCTTTCCCTCTGCACCCTCCACTCTCTGCCCCCTCCCACCCAGAGAGAGACCAAAGGGAAAATGTGAGAGGCGAAATCACCCAGCCTCCCGAGCCTTTTGCTGCAGAGCTGAGTGCTGCAGCAGCCGCCCTGCCTCCTCAGCCTGGCCAACAGCGAGCCGGCACAGAGAGACCTTCATCACGCCTCTCGTCACTAATGGTCTAACAAGCCTTTGAAAGCAGCGCTGCTCTCTTGTGCTCTCAACGTAATTTTCTCGAAGCTCCAGTGGCCTCTCAGCCACCCATCCCTCCGAGACAGGAGCATTTCCAGCATTAGTTCTGTCTGTTTGATGTGTCTCTTCCCCCCTCGGATATGAGCCGTCTATCCGTTGCAGGCAGCGGGGGTGTATATGTCCAGCCTCTCCCTCCTGGCTAGAAAGACAGGAGGAGAGCCCCGCCCCCCCTCCCCAAACACACACACACACCAACTCTAGTCTGGGATGCTTAGGAAAACTGAGGTTTTCTACAGTGGCCAGGATGCCATGAGAGTACCCTCAGAGGAAGGAGAGGGATGAAATTCTGGGCCGTAGAGCTGACAAAAGGCATCTAAGTGCACTGGTCACCCCCATGGAACACTCGCACAGCGTGACTCACAACCATCATGTCTGCCCTTCACAGTCGTCCTGTGAGGTGGGGAGAACCATCCCCATGTTACAGAAGCAGAAACTGAGGCTCAGAGAGGTTAAGTCAATATCCAAAGTCACAAAGCTTTGCTTGACAGGGTCCTGATTTAAATCAAGCTCAGGATTGGGCGTTAGGGAGCCCCAAACTGCAGTGCACACAGACGGTTTAGGGGGTGCCACTGAGCACCTAACCGCATATGGCACCCTTGCCCAGCGGTCATCCATTCCCTCTTGTCTTCTGCACCGTAAGAAGTTCCAGTCCCCTCCTACACTGTAAAATGGGCGCCTGGTACTGTGAACCTTTCTTTGGTTGGGGAACCTCAGCCTTTGAAAACATTTCGTTACCAAAAGGCCCCTTCTGGAATCAGCTACATTTATCAGAATAAGCAGTTCTGTCTCTGGGAACTTGTCTTATTAAAACTTCACCATTGAGTGACACTTTGGAACCTAAAATGCCTTACGGCAGAGCTCAGAGGACCCAGCTACTCTTTGATGTCAGTGACCACAGAGGTGTGCCCAGGTTGTTTTGGTTTTGGGGCTTTTTCTCCCAGTGGCGGGAACTGGGTCAGCTTCAGTGCCCACCAGTAGGGAGGTGTTAAGACACATGTGAGTAGTTGGAGGGCACAGGCTGATTCAGAGGGGCTGATCTGGAAAGGGGTAACGTAACAGCTTTCTACATAGAAATTTCTATGACAGGGTCTTGGGGTGATGTGGCATTTTTTATGTTAAAAATTGTTTTTTTTGTGTGTGTCTGTGTGTATGTGTGTTTGTGTGTATGTCTGTCTGTCTTGTCTATCTGTGTCTGTGTGTTACATTAGGAGTAAGACCTAGGGCCAACGAGCTGACTCAACTGGTCAAGGCACGCTTGGTACCAAACCTGAAGCCCTGAATTCTATTCCAGGGTCTGACATGGTAGAAGGAGAGAACTGACCCCTGCCAGTTTTCCTCTGACCCCTACATGCATGCCGTGGCACACACGCCCACATACATACCATAAACAAACAAATGTAATACAGATCTTAATACTATAAATAAAGAGCTGAACCCCTGAGCACTGCTCAGAATTCATCTTTCCTCTGATCCCAGCCCTCCAGCCAGGAGAGGTCCCGGAGAAGCCTGGTCTCTTGGTCCCCAGTGTAAACCATCACAGGCCGTGGCCTTTAGTTCCTTGTCCTGTCAGTCCTAGGTGTCCCTGAGCCACACAGCTTGTTTCTATCTAGAAGCTGAAGGCTGAGGTTCCATAGACTTTGTGAGATTCCTGCCTTAGCTCCTTTTTAATTTCTCCATTAGCCCCAAACTGGGCCTCCCAGGGCCGTGCCTCCTTAGGTAGTCCCTTCCTCCCTCTGCTCTGGGTTTCCAGTGGCTTATGGCCTCTACTTACTGAAGTCCATTGCTTTCCTAATAAGGAGCCAAGGCAGACCTGGACTAAATTCCAATCTGTGTGTGCTCAGTGGGGAGGCATTGTGTAGCCAGTACCCCTAGATCAGTGGACTCTGGGCCTGGAGCAGGGACCTACAACACAAGCACCTACCAGGCCCTGCCCTCCAGACAACTCAGGTTTGTCTGCTGTGCCACAAAAATGCACACAACACCCGTTCTGGGCACCCAGCTCTCCAAAGGTTTTCTCTTACATCCCCTCCCCCAATGTCTCTCGGCCCTCTCCCTGAACCTCAGCCTCTTCCTTGGGGATTGTCGAGCCTCTAACCAGCTTCTGCTCATCCCCTTTGACAATCCTCCACTCGGTTTGAAATCTCACGTGGAAATTTCCTGTCTGAGGGAACTGTCCTCACCTGAGCCCTGGGAGTAGTGGGTTGTAGATGACACTCCTGCTTTGAGAAGGGACCTCGAAAAGGCATGACACAAGGTGCCATAAAGGGCTTCACACTAAAAATTGAAACAAAATCTGGCTTTGTTTTAAGAAAAGAAAGAAAGAAAGAAAGAAAGAAAGAAAGAAAGAAAGAAAGAAAGAAAGAAAGAAAGAAAGAAAGAAAGAAAGAAAGAAAAAGACTGTCTGTCTTTGCTTCCTGCATCCTACCCCATCCCATCCCCAATACACACATACAGCTGCCCCGATCCAGAAACTGCTCAGTCTCTCCATCTCTCTGCATCTCCAAACTGACTCAATTGTAAGTAGAATTCAGCCAGTCAGCCAGGCTTCCTTCCCTCAGTTGGGAATCCTCTTCCTTAGAAGGGGGTGGTGTGGAATAGGGGCTTTCAACAACTTTTTCCTTTAGACATCTGTTCCTATACTCAAACACAAAACTCTGAAATGAAATCGCACATTGTTCTCCCCATGGGGTAGGATTCTGGGGCATTTGTGCCTTCTCATCCTATTCTTGTATACTATTTGAATATTTTATAATGAATGTCTTTTCACTTTTTTATTATACAAGAAATTCAAATGCATTTTCTCATTTTCAAAAAATTCATGTAGGCAACAGGTTTGGCTAAAATTCCTTTTGCCCTTCTTAACCCCCTCCCCAGAGGCACACACTGATATTATAGATGGAAACTTTCAGACCTCTTAGTATACATTCACATACACATTTACCTATGGAGCTGTATGGCTGTCTTAAGAAATCTGTAGAAATGTGACGGTACTGTTTTTTACTTTTGATCACTTTTCATCTGCTAGTCTGGGATGAAGATCATTCCCTGTTGAGGGACACCTGGAAGCATGCTGTTCTCTTTAATAGCTGTGTGATAGTTCGGTGTGGTTGTGGCATGGCGTGTTTAATCATTCCTCTACTGAAGGACATTGAGGTGATTTTCTGTTTTTGTCATTGCAAACAACACTTTGATAAACATCCTTGAGGACTTCCCTTTATGTGCCTGTAGGAGTGTTTTCCCTACATAGATAATGACTTGCAGCTTCCCGAGGTAGAAGGGTGTCCGTGCTTTTCATTTGAAAAGGTGCTTTGGAAGTACTTTATAACCAGAAAAGGGTTACTCTTCTGCACTGGCATTAAAGGACGGGAAGAAACCCGGTCCCAACTGGCCCTGGCCTATCACTCCAGCCAGACAGTAAGGAAAGGGCCCCTGGAGTGCTTGGCAGTCCACGCTGGTGCTTGGTACTCCCTGGCAGCCTCCTGCAGCGTGGACTCTTCGCTTCCCTCTGCCCTGCAGATTCAGCCCTTACGAGTGGTATGATGCCCACCCTTGCAACCCCGGCTCCGAGGTGGTGGAGAATAACTTCACACTGCTCAACAGCTTCTGGTTTGGAATGGGCTCCCTCATGCAACAAGGTGAGTGTCTGCCCTCTCCGGGCCTTCTTGTCTGAGGAAGGTAGCTTTCCTCCCCAGTGGGTCCTTTGGCCTCTCTGGGGTCAGCTGCCCTCAAGAGGCAGCCTCAGGCCTCAATAAGCTGTCAGAAGGTTACAGACACTGAGGATACCCTGGTGTGTGCCTTCACCCCAGATTCACACCCTGCTCCACTGCTCTGGCTCAAAGCCAGCTCAGGATGTAAAGAAGGTCAGCCACCCCAGCCTGTGTCGTGTGAGATGCATTCCCAGTACCTTCTACAGTTGTTGGGATGGACCAGAACATGCTGCCTGCTGGATTGACCCTGGTGACTTCTCCCCAGCTGAGCAAAGCTGATCCAAGCAAGCTGGGGGCTGGGACCACAGAGGCAGAGGGTGGGCAGGAGGCTGCAGAATAGTGCTGTGACGGTAAATGGCTGGGGAGACTAAGAGAACTCCAGTAGTTAGGTCAGGGCTAGGTGAGGTTGACTGAGGTTGGGACTTCTGCCTGAGTACATCAGAGACAGGGTCCATGGCAGAAGACTGTCATCCATCTTGGAGAGAGGGCCCCAAGATGACTGGCCCTGAGCATGGATTCAGCTCTTTGGAGATGTCTGGAGATGCTTAAATATCTAGGAAACAGCCGAGTATGGTAGCGCGCATCTGTGATTCCAACATTTGGTTGACTGGGACTGGAGGATTACTGTGAGTTCAAGACAAGCAAGGCCCTGTCTCAGAAGGTGGGAAGGTGTAGCACGGTGACTCAGTGGGTGAAGGCACTTGCTGCCAAGCCTGATGCCCCAATGGGAAGCTGCACATCGCCTGCTCTGACTACAAGGCCCTTGACCTTCACACTCTTATGTGGAGCCTCAAGACCCAGCACAAACCCTGGTCTTCAGAAGACATGATGAAGATGCCAGATGAATGAGGGAGAGAAGGAAGGGAGGAAGGAAGAAAGGAAGGAAGGAAGGGAGGAAGGAAGGAAAGAAGGAAGGAAGGAAGGAAGGAAAGGAAGGAAAGGAGGGAAAGGAGGGAGGGAGGAAGGGCATTCTCCTTAGTGCCCATCACACAGCCGTTCACTGTGCTGGGAGCACTGTGGAGCCGTGAGTGTAGCAGAAGAGGAAAAAGACCTGTTTCTCCGCCCGTCAGTGGGCTCCAGCATCGGAAGTGACAGGCACCTTTCATGGCAAGTGCCTCCGCCTGTCCCTGCTATTAACAAGCGTCCTGAAGCCTCACCTTCCTTCTTTGCCCGTCGTCTTTGTTCGGTGACAGTTGAGAAAGACCTGGAAGCCCCTTCGCTGCAGTAATAACTTCTCCGCTGCTGCCTGCTGCTACTCAAGTCCAGGCCCCCCAACGCATTCCCCCGCATGGTTTTGATTAGGAGGGGAAAAAAAAACTAGGTATGTATTTGAAAAACTCTCCCTTGAGTGACTTCTTTGAGACAGGGAAAAAAAATCATCCATATCAAAGCAGACGCTTTCAGATTGCGAGTCCAAATATTCCAGAAAGTTCGGGGGTCACTCACTATTTAAATCTCTTGAAAGCCGTCTAGTTAATTACTTCAGTTAGAAGGGTTCATCTGAATGGTGCTCTGCACCCAAGGTCGGGGAGGAAGAGTGATATATTTCAGCAAAGAGCTTCCAAAAATGTTGATTTTTCTTCTCCTTCCAAGTGCCTCACAGCAATCTCATCTTTGTATACTGCTCGTATTTCTGACGCATCTCTCTTCAAATTATACCATTGCGGCATCGCAGTATTTCCGGGAGGCTGGGGCAGAGGAAGGACAATTCTTCATCCTTTGCAGAGTCCAGAACAAGAGAATTGTCTGGCCTAAGATCACCCAGAGAACTGGGAACAGGATTTTCTTTTAGAACCCGTGGTTTCGACCCTTATACTGTGGTCCATGGATAGGCATCGGAGGGTCTGAGGAACCTCTGAAATGGAGTGCGTGCATGTGTGTGTGTGTGTGTGTGTGTGTGTGTGTGTGTGTGTGTGTGTGTGTGTGTGTGTGTATGTGTGTGTGTGTGTGTGTTGAGAATGTAAATTATTAAATATCAGCCTGAATCAGACTCACTTGAAGTCTGAGTGCACACCCTGCTCATCCCTCCCCCTCCCCTCCCTCCAGTTATTGACTCTTGAGGTGAATCAAAGAATCTGCCTTTCAGTCAAGTTTCCAGTGGGGCTGATCTGCTAGTCTCAAGAAAAGGTCTCCGCGCCTGTGTGAGTATCCAGGTCATGTCATGGTCTACACATTGTAAGGCCTCTCCTCCCTTCTCCCAGGCTCTGAACTGATGCCCAAAGCTCTGTCTACCCGAATCATTGGTGGCATCTGGTGGTTCTTCACACTCATTATCATTTCGTCCTACACGGCCAACCTGGCTGCCTTCCTGACCGTGGAGCGCATGGAATCGCCTATCGACTCTGCTGATGACCTGGCCAAGCAGACCAAAATTGAATATGGTGCTGTCAAGGATGGGGCCACCATGACCTTCTTCAAGGTGAGATTCTCTTCTTCCGTGCGTCACCTGGAGCTCACTTGCCTGGACTCTTTACTGAGTAGAAAAGTGGAGCTCTGCCCATCCCTCCATCCCTCCCTCCCTCCCTCCATCCCTCCCTCCCTCCCTAACTACTCCGAATCCAGGGGCCTGAAACCACAGGTCTCAGCCCCTCCCTGTTGAAACCAGTTATGTCTAAGGAGCTGTGATGATGAGCCACATAGATTGGTCTCAAGTTCTGAAAGTTTCTGGGGCAAGCCATGTGAATCACTGGAGGAAGATAAACAGAAATGATTGGATGGCCCAGTCCCAGACAGTTCTGGGACCATTGGTACCCTGCTCTTGGCTTGGGGTCTCAATCCATCCATCTCTAAGAGGCTGACTTGGGGTGGATAAGCTGCCCATTTCCAATAGCAAAAGGCACATTTCCTCCTCTTAGAAAGCCAGTGTCTTCAGAGAAAGTCCCTGTCACTTGCCCATGTGACAGCTTTCACAGGAGCCATGGCTTTGTTGCTCCCCCAGCTTTGAAAGCGTTGGCTCAGTTCCACTGTTTACCCCTTCTGTCTTCCCAGTTGAGGTCAAGGGGACTCTGCCTGACCCCGAGAAGCAGTGGGTTCAGTGTGCTTCTAGATAAGTAACAATAGCTGTAGCCCTGAGCACTCACAGTGGGCCAGACTCTGCTCCTTGCTTGGTCTCTATTAACCTTCTCAACCCCTGTGAGATGAACACCATAATTATTCCCAATCCACGTGTGGCAACTGAGCCCCCGACAGATCAATGGCTTGTCTGAGGATTCACATCTGAAGGAACTGGGCCCCTCATCTGCTTCTCTCCAAAACTTAGCTGCTAAACCAGTGGTGGTGGGGCTTGAATGTGTGTCTGAATGGCACGGAGTCTGTGTCATCAGAAAGGACTGAGCATCGGTACACACACACACACACACACACACACACACACACACACACACACACACGTACGTGTCTGACTCAGGAGGCCTAGGGTGGACTCATAATGAGTCTTCTGGGCTGAGGCTATGTCTAATTTGGCAGAGTGCTTGCCTATTGTGCAAAAAGCTCTAGGTTCAATCCCAGTGGAGCAAAAGCAGCATAGTGGTACACACCTGTAATCTGGGCTCTAGGGAGGTAGGAGCAGAAGGGTCAGCGGCTCAAGGTTATCCTCGGCTACACAGGAGCCATCCTGGACCACATGAGGCCCTGGACAGACAGACAGAGAGAGAGAGAGAGAGAGAGAGAGAGAGAGAGAGAGAGAATATTCTAAGGAGTTCCCAGCTGCTGCTGGAGCTGCGGTTGGGGATGTTTTGAGAAGTGGTCCTCTAATTACCCCTTGGAAGCATCAGGCTTTGGGATGGGAACTGTGCGGTGCATCCATCGGCTTATTCATCAGCTGCCCTCTGCCAGTCTGGAAGTCTGTGTATCTCCCTTTACCCTGGGCTCTGGTTCTTCATCCCTGAGCCCTTGCCTCTTTGGAGACTTCAAGAAAAGGAATGAGCCCCAGCGGGGGGTTGAGGAAATAAAGGAAGAAGTTAGAGTGTAAAATGCCTCCATCCCATGGGTGCTCAAACCCCAGCACTTTCTGCCAGCTCCCCGTGTCTCTCCTGAGGCTGGGGGCAGCTACTTAGTGAAGAGGGGGGAGGGAGGGAAAGAAGCTTACCCTTGCCCACGGCTACTGCCACCGGAAGCCGGCCACACCATCTGCTGGGGAGGGCTCAGTGTGCATTGAGGTCAAGGGGAAGTAAAAGGTCACGTTAGGCACTTGTTGAAACTCCATGAGTGTGAGCAAGGCTGACAGTATGTACATACATGTATGACTGTGCATAGAGTAGATGACACATGTAAATGAGCATTTTGCTCATGCACACGTGACATGCATGAGCGTCTGCCTGTATGTACACAGGCAGATCTGTGCTTAGACATGAGTGTTTGCATCTGTGTGTGTATGTGTGCTAATGAACAAATTGCATGATCACCATCTAGGAACACAGATATGCATCTGTGAGTACACACAAGTACATGCCAGAGTATCTGTGTGTATGTGTAGACAGAATATCGTATACTTCAATGTTCCTGTGTGTGTGTGTGTGTGTGTGTGTGTGTGTGTGTGTGTGTGTATGTGTGTGTGTGATGACCTATGTACACACATAGGCTTCTGTCTGTATATGTGTGCCTGCGCATGAACCTGCCTGCTCACACTCCCTGTCCTCAGGCCACAGCCCAGCCCTTTGACTACCAGAGTTTCTCATGAATTAGGCATGAGCCCATCTCTAAGCAGGGCTCCCGATCAAAGCGAAGAGGCATAAATAAGCCCAGTGCAGGCTCATCTCGGCTGATTGGAGGCCCCCGCCTCCCTCCATGCAGAGATGCTCAGATTGCCTTTTCAGAGCCCAGTCCCAGCTCCCCACCGAGCCTCAGCCCTCAGCATCAAGCAGCCACTGCACCCTCACCCTCCTCTCCTGCAGACAGCCCAGAGAGGAGGGCAGGGGAAGGACACAGAACCTGCTCCCCAGCCAGGACTCTGGGGCTCCAGGTCCCATCAGCCAGAAGCAGCAGCTGAGTGTCCCCAGGCAAAACCAGCCCCACATCCATGCTCTCCTGACATCACTTAATCCTTCTCTGCAACCAGTCACGTGGTCCTAGGTGTGTGTCCACACTTCACCTCTTTCTCTGTTGTCCTCCTGACAACCCTATAAGACAGACGAGTATCATCCCCTCCATGTTACACACAGTGGAAGCAAGGCTCAGAGAGGCTAACTGACTTGCCTAACGACACACAGCAAGAAAACTGCAGAGCTGGGATTTGAACCACACCTGACTGTAAAGCCTGTGTTCTTTGTCCTTTCATCCGGTTTTTCTCAGGATCCCACCACAGTCCTCAGCAGTCTCCCTTGGGGAAGAACAAAGCCATGGTGGGTTGGGCCATGCCCAGCACAGTCTTGACACATTGTAGTGGCTCAGCGGATTAATAAAGTTGGGTGTTTGGTGCTGTAAAAGGGTTGGCCTTGAAAGGTAGCAAATCCAAGAGAAGCCAGTGCAAGAGGCAGTGGTGAGCACAGGCACCAGGCAGGCGGCACCCCCCCCCCCCCGCCCCGCCCCACCCCGCCCCGCCTCCAGATATCCCAAGTTTAAAACAAGTTAACTTTATTTCTGTGGTTTGCATACTCCTGGTTAGGCAGGACTCAGGGGCTGAGAGACGGCTCAGTCAGTAAAGAGCTTGCCGTGTAAACCTGAGGACCTGGGTTCATATCCCCAGCATCTGTATAAAAGCTAGGCATGGGGCTGGAGGGGTGGCTAGGCGGTTAAGAGCACTGGCTGCTCTTCCAGAGGACCTGGGTTCAATTCCCAGCACCCACACGGCAGCTCACAACTGTCTGTAACTCAAGTTCCAGTGGATCTGACTCCCTTACAAAGACATGCAGGTCAAACACCAGTGCATATAAAAAAAAATTTTTTAATTAAAAAAAAAAAAAGCTAGGCCTGTTGGAACTGACCTGTAACCAAGCATTGGGTGTGGGGTAGATATCAAAGGACCCCTGTACCTCGGTGGCCAGACTGCCTAGGTGAATCAGTAAAGCTTCATGTTCAATGAGAGACCTTGCCTCAAGAAATAAAGAACAACCGAGAAATATACCCGATATTGGCCTCCAGCTTTCACAAGCATGCATATATGCGTGGCATGTGCGCTTGCGCACATGGCACACACACACACACACAGAGATACACACACACACACACACACACACACACAGAGATACACACACACGAGCATGTAGATGAACCCCAAAACAAATAAGTAAATAAAACTCCCATGGCAAAGAGAAGAACCCAAGAGAGGGAGCCGCAGGAAGCAGGACATCCAGCTCTTGGGCCCCAGGTCCCTTGAGCTCAGCCAGCTTTCGCAGGAAGCTGCGTGGCTAGAGTCTGCCCCTTGGCTCCGAAGGAGGTTTGCTGGGAGAATTGTCAGGGAGCAGCAGACATCACAAACACCGTCTCCTGTGCTGTCCTCCCTCCGTCTTGGAAGATAAAAATTAATTAGGAGATGAAAAAGGAGGCCTTTGAAAGCACTGTTTGGCTGTAAAAATATGTAGGCAAAAAATGTAAAGGAGGCTGTGGGGGAGGTGAGCTGCTTGCAGGGGAGCTGGGCGGCTTTGAAGGGAGAAGATGCTGGAAGAGATTCTGCAGGGATTGTGGCCTCTTTGAGTGGAAGAGCTGGGAGCTCAGCACAGTGGGGCTGCTGAGGGAAAGCATGGGAATCCGGAGCCTCAAAAGCCGGGCTCCCCAGCCCTGGGTATGGCTGAGCCCTCCCCCCTCATGCAGCCTCAACTGCAGCGTCCTACCTGGAAGGGGCTTGGCGGGGCTGTCCTGCATCCCTAGGCGCCAACTGAACAGTGATGCTTCCCCAAGCTGGAGGGCTCAGGAAGCTACCCAGTTATCTCCAGCCCCTCCCTGTGCTGCCCTCCTTCACAGCCCTCGACCCAGCTTGCAGCAGAAGCAGGGTGGGAGGACCAGGCAGCAGCCAGTCTGGTCCAGCCTGGTGCAATCAAACACCAGGCTTTAAAATCAGACCCACCGAGATGTGTCCTGGGTCACATTTTTGTCACCTCATTGCTCCAAGCCCCAGCTTGCTCACCTGGACACTGATTCCTACCTATGACTGTTCCCTAGAGGATTCAGTGAGCTCCTAGACCTTCAGTGTTCATCAGGGAGATCTTGTCCCAAAGCCCACCCCCCTCCCCCCACCCCACCCCCGCAGGCAGGCTACTCAAGCAGAAAGCACCTCTGACACCTGGAGACTCCCCTTTCTCCAGGTCCTCGGGACTGGGCTTTGGGGTAGATTTCAGTGCCTCTTATCATGACCTGCGCTTTTGCACAGAGAACAGAGAAAACTGGGAGTCAGCTCCTGAAACCGAAGGATTCCATCCCTGGGGAGGCAGAGACAGGCAGATCTCTGTAAGTTCGGGGTTAGCCTGGTCTACATGATGAGTTTGA